TGGGGAGCCCCGGGGCCCGCAGGCTCATGCTCCTTCGGGAGAGGAGAAGCTGAGACCCACAGGGTTAATCGTGCAGCAGGGCACTGGGCCACGTCTCCTGACTCCGGGTCCAGCCTCCACTGAGCTGTGCCAACTTAAAATCCCCAAGAATGGAAAAACAGGCCTGCAGGAAAATAAAAAGGCAGGGTCAAAATGATGGCTAAGTCAAGTGTTCTGTTTTTCTGTAAGTATAATTCACCAAATTAAGTTTATTTCTAACTTTTTTTTACAGTTAGTATTTATTCTGTTTAATTACGTTATGTGTAACTGTTTTTTTTCTGGATATTTACACAAAATGCTTTCACAGATTATTTTTGTCAGGCTGGATATTTTTCTAAATTCAAACTTTCCAGATCTAAGTCCTGTCTACGAGTCATATGAACAGAATTACTCCTGGCAAGCGCTGACCTTGCCCATCGTCCATTTGCTCATCTGTAAAACGAGGACAATTAGAGCACCACTTACCTCCTCGGCTATTATGAAGATGAAATAATAGGAATATTTAGAACGTGATGAGCACAGTGCTTGCCGGTGAATGCCAGCCTAACAAATCTTAGTTATAGTTAGAAGAATCCTGCTTGAAAAGTAAATTTCCTCCTTAGCTCTTAGTTTCCCACAAATCCAGTTGGTGCTGAGTTTTATATGCAAACTGTTTTTCAATGGTCATGTGAGTCACTGGGCCAGTCTCCCTCATAGGCAGGGTTGCAGCTGTGGACTCATCACTAACAAGGGTTTCCTGTATCCCCAGGAGCTAAACTGCAGGAGGCAGGATGGTCTGGGGGCTGGTCCTGCTGGCTCTGTGGGTGTGGCCCAGCACACAAGGTGAGTGTCCTCAGAGCCCGTGGTCTCTTGGGCTTGTGAGATGTGGCTTAGCTGCAAGGCGAGAGACGACAAAATAAAGTGTGTAGTAGGACAATTTTACCCGTGAGGACCTTCTAGCTCCTTAATAGTAACTTACTTCAGAGCCAATATGACATGAGAGAATTTATCTTTGGAAAATTCAGGTGTTAGAGAAAAATGCCATTCCACTTAGAGTTGCACAGTTTATCCTTTTTTTTCTGTAGAGGATGTTCACAGCACTGCAAGCGTTTGGTGTTTGTTGAATTATTTTTACTCCACTTTCTTCCTCCTTTAAATATTTTCCCATGTGTTTACTTTTCTACAGTATGATTTTTAATGACCACGTAATATTTCATCACAGATGAAGTTTGATCTTTTTCCATCAATTCCCACTTAGATTGGTTTATTTTCATTAGCATAAACGGTGACACAAAAAATACTGACGTGGATAAATCTTAAGTAGCATTTGTGATTATGTCCTTTGGATAGGTTACAAAATTAGAATTGTTGAATCAAAGCTTTTAATTCTTGCCAAGTAACTCTATGGAAAGTGGTCCCATGCCCACTTCTATCAGCAACACTGTGTATTATACTGTTCTAATTTGCCAAATATTACATGAAAAGGAAGGCTTTGTTTAAACTTTCCGTTCAGTGTATTACTTTGAATTATTTAAACTGTTATGATTTTGGTGAGGTCTGATCACTTTTCTTGCCAATAGCTTAGGTGGTGAGTTAAAACCATTTGTTTCTATACTGGACACTGATCACTCTTTCAGATCCTTACCCACAGGGTGCATTAAGAGCTGGAGAATATATTTTTACAAAATAGCAACCTGCTAACATAACGGGTTATAGGCAGTTGATCTCAACAAGAAAGCAACATATGAGTGAGCCACTTTCAGACACTTTATCAACAGCAAGGCTAAAGATCCATGTCTTTCCTAGTTTATTCATTCATTTATTTCCTGAGCAATCAACTGGTAGAGAGGACGGCTGCTTTTCGGCCTCAGATCTGAGATGGAAGAGCCAGACAGAGTGACTTGGGACATGTGCCAGAATGTCAGTCGAGGCCGGATTCCCTCACCACGAAGGTCGGGCTATGCAAAGGGCCAGCTGAACGGACAGGGCGCTGCCTGGCCCCACCGATTTACCTTCTGGCACACGCTCCTCGGCCAGCCAGGGACAGAAGCTGACCCCACAGACCCGCAGCTGCGCTGGGACCACACTCTGAGTAGCGGCACTGGCAGTGGCTTTTCATCAGAGATTCGTCAGATAGTGGCTTTTCATCAGAGATGGCTCTAGCACTCCTATAAAAGAGGGAGAGAAGCTGTGGGATATTGGGAGGCCTGGTTAATTTCCTTACACAGGAGGTTCTGGTTTGTCACCCTGGGTCCGGCCAACCTCGCCCTCTTCCCCCACGTCACCCTTCTGCACTGCGGTTCCCTTTGCAGCTGGTCACCAGGACAAAGGCACGACCTTCGACCTTTTCAGTATCAGCAACATCAACCGCAAGACCATTGGCGCCAAGCAGTTCCGCGGGCCCGACCCCGGCGTGCCGGCTTACCGCTTCGTGCGCTTCGACTACATCCCGCCGGTGAACGCAGAGGACCTCAGCAAGATCACCAGGATCATGCGGCAGAAGGAGGGCTTCTTCCTCACGGCCCAGCTCAAGCAGGACGGCAAGTCCAGGGGCACGCTGCTGGCTCTGGAGGGCCCCGGTCTCTCCCAGAGGCAGTTCGAGATCGTCTCCAATGGCCCGGGGGACACGCTGGACCTCATCTACTGGATCGACGGCACCCGGCACGTGGTCTCCCTGGAGGACGTGGGCCTGGCTGACTCGCAGTGGAAGAACGTCACCGTGCAGGTGGCTGGAGAGACCTACAGCCTGCACGTGGGCTGCGACCTCATAGACAGCTTCGCTCTGGACGAGCCCTTCTACGAGCACCTGCAGGCGGAAAAGAGCCGGATGTACGTGGCCAAAGGCTCTGCCAGAGAGAGTCACTTCAGGGTACGCTCTGCAGGGAGGCGGCCACGGTGAGGGAGGAAAGAGCTTTGCTGGGAACTGACCCGCCAGTGCGTCTGGTGATGCGATGCTTGAGCAGGCGGAGCGTGGCCTTAGAGAAGCACACTGCACCTCCACACACGTGCTCACATGCACACATGCACACACTGCACACCACATGCAACCACAGGCATGTGCACACGTGCACATGCACCACACACCCATGAACACGCATGCACACAAACACATGAACACACATCCAAAGACATATGCACAAACACTGCATATGGACTCACACTCGCATGTGTATATACATCACACATGCACACACACGAACACACATCCAGAGACATATACACAAACACTGCATATGCACTCACACTTGTATATGTATATACATCACACATGCACAC